CCGGGCTTGAACCATGCCGGATCGCACTGAATATGGTGTGACTGGGCCCTGAAAGTTTCGGAGCTTTGCCTGTCAGAACTGCCCAAGATTCAGCCAGTGCAGGAGGGTTTGGGAGGCCGACACCTCTAGGTCAACAGTACATAAGTACAATATATATTTAAATTGAAAATGTATGACCGCTGTAGCGTTTCCAAACTAAAATCTTTACTTTCTAATCACTGTGACCCCAGGACACAAAATAAGGCGACTGCAGGTTATCAGGACAGTATTACAACCACCATAACCCTCACCTTTAAAATAAACTTACATCTCATATTTAAATCCTCATAGGCTTACTTTAATGGCATTGATTAAACAATTATTTTTTCTTAGAATTAAAGCAATATAAAGTAGCCAATAGTATTTGGATTTTGTGATGACCAAAAAAAGTATTTCCATCTGACAAAACTATACAGACTAGCACCTGATACTTTGACTTTTCTAGGTATTCAGAAGAGGAAATAATACAGTGATAACAGGTCTTTTAAAACTACCATTTGTCTATACAATGTGTATTGAGGGTGTAAAGAAAGAGAGACACCTGGGGATGACCTGTGCAGATCTTCTGACCTCTTCCCAAAGTTCCCTAGGTGCTCCAATTGTGGTTATTCTTAAAGGATAACTATGGGGTTAGGGCTTTTCCCCATAGTTCTCCTTAGGGTAACGGGAGGACACAAACTAGTGTCCTCCCATCACCCTACTGGGAAAGTTGAATTTTGGCTCACCACCTCTCTTCCATGCCGTGAGAATGACCATGAGTGTGGAATACAAGAAGGGCAGTTAAAACTGCCACAAGTCATGGCCAGAAGTATGAATAAAACACTGCCACATTATGTTTCTCTCAATCTTTCAAAATGTTCGATGAAATGCGGACAGGCTCAGAAGCAAGTCCCAAATGTATTAAGAGGTTCACTTACAGAGTAAGACAAGAAAACTTAGGTGAAGGATGCCAGTTCCTCTTGGATTATTAGGTGTAAAAATATTTTTCTTCATTTGAAACTGGAATAAAAAAGGAGGCTTGGCTTTTTAGACTCTGGCTGCATGCTTGCTCCGGTTCAGACACTTAAATGGCAGAAAAGCAAGAGGAAAACCCGAGTGTTGGAACTTTCATACCTTTATAAAACATTAGCACTAATATTTGTATCCTTACACATGTGTACCTTAAAGTGTAATTCCACTTTTGCAGCCAAATTGGGATAACAACTATTTTATATTTGTTATGTATTTCTAGTCACGCTGCATAACATTAAAAAATAAACATTGCTGCTTACCTTTTTAAGTGCTTTTAACTTGCTTAAAAATTCTACCTAGCCTTCTAGCTAGGTCATGTTAAGGAGGAGGCTGGAGTGAAGGTTAATGTTAACTTTAATTAACCCTGTCTGTACTGTGCTGGCAGATTTCATTATCAGTTGTAAACTAGATTTGATCACTGTCTGTCCCAACAAAGGGTTACAGCTTTGGAGTCAAGCTCACTCTGACACTATAGATTCACTCTTAAACTGCTCAGAGTAGCCTGGAATCTGCACGAAGGCCTTTCCCAAAGAAACATCCAAAAAGTAAGGAATATATTTTTTCGTTATGCTGTGTGAATAGAAACACAGAACAAACCTATAGAGAGGTTTTCTCAAATTTGACTGCAAAAGTAGAACAATTTAAACTATATTTTCACTTTTGCAGCCAAATTGGGATAACACCCATTTTATATTTGTTACACTTTTCTCATAGCAATTTTTTTTTAAATTGCTACTTTCACAATACGTGCTCTATTCTGAAAGAAAAGTGTTTCTCTGTACTGAGTTTTGCTCTAAAATTTAAGGGGGGCTGGGCAGAATAATTTAACATAATTAACCATATCAGGAATGTGCTGGCAGATCTCATTATCAATTGTAAACTAGAATTGAACAATGTCTGTCCTGACAAAAATTTTAAGATCTAGAAGCATTGTATGTTGAGGGGGAGCTTAAGCTGGCCATATACTAGTAGATTTCAAAACAAACTTTCCTATGAAAGACATATACTAGTGCAGGGCTCAAAATTTCAAGTCCTGAGCTACTAGCCACCAGTTGCCCCACCTAACCCTTACCCTGCCCCGGCCTTAATTCCGCCCCTAAACACACCCTCTTAAATAATCTTATGATAATTCTTATCTTACGATAGTTTCCGCTTGTAAACGGCAGATTAGGGATTCCTGCTGCAGGAAAACGCAAGTTCCAGACACAGGAATCTCTAATCACACCTGAAATATACTGTAGGTGTGAATGGGGCCTAATATACACATACACTAAAGGTGTCCATACACCTGCCGATTATCGTACGATAGTTGGGGGTGATCCCGCGATCGTACAATAACTGGCATGTGTATGGGCAGCGTGTGACCGCTTCTACGACTTTTGTCTTCCAAGCACGCTGGAAAACCTGCCGAAAATTGTACGATTTTTGGCGGGTTGGTGGCGTGGTCGGAAGAGGAATGCCGCAAGGGCCGGTGTGCGCAAGCGCACACTGCCCACTCAGCACTGCAATCATCGCACCCCCCCACCTGTTCAAGTCTTTGCAGGGAGGAGGCTGTGAGCAGGATCGATCCCTGGTTTATCTGTGAGTGATTAGTGAGGTCTGCAGCAGATCTCACTATCACCCCCAGATAACCAGGCATCGATCCTGCTCACAGACATTCTTTCCTTCGCCAGAGCTCAGAACTGTCAGAGCTCCGGCCGAAGGAAGCCAGAGCTGACAGGAGCTGCTCTGCATCCAACACAGACTGTGTGCGACCGTGTGCCTGACATGTCAGCTGTCTGCGGGTCACATAGTACCGGCTCGCGGGCCGGAGTTAGGCCGTGAGCTAGTACTCGGAGACCCAAATTTCCCTCACCTTATTTTTACTCGCAAAATGCGAGCAGAAGAGTGGAAATTTTGAGCCCTGTACTAGTGTATTGTATGAATATGGAATTTTCAACATTACAAATGTTTATATTGATTACATTATTATATTATGTCTGTAATCAGCATGAAGGATTTAAAGTAACCAAACTCTTTACACATTACCTCATCCTCAACATATGTAGAAAGATTTTTTTTCTTCCTCCCAAACTTTCTATAGTACATTGTCTTAAAGAGACAAATGTTTAGGGAATGTCTGAAACCCATGACAGATAGCTAGTTTTCTCTTAAATTGAGGTCATCTTATGACATGTTACAAAAGTTTAAAGAAAAATCCGAAAATTATTCCTAGACCAATGCTGCCTCCTTCAGGTAATTGTGGGTATAATTTGGGGAAAAGGTAACTTTTTCCCCTGAGATTGATAACACAACTATCCATCCCTTCTCCCATGCCAAGGTTCTAGGTGTCATCCTTGACTCGGACCTCACCTTTCTGCCCCACATCCAATAACTATCCAAATCCTGCCGCCTTCACCTTCGTAACATCTCCAAAATACGCCCCTTCCTCACCAAAGAAACCGCAAAACTACTCATCCACTCACTCTTTATCTCTCGTCTTGACTATTGCAACTCCCATTGGCCTCCCTCCTCATTGGCCTCCTCCTCTATCATGAATGCTGCTGCCAGACTCATCCACCTAACCAACCGCTCAGTGTCTACAACCCCCCTTTGCCAATCCCTGCACTTGCTTCCAATTGCCCAAGGGATAAATTTCAAAATATTAACGACTTACAAAGCCACCCAGAACTCTGCACCCGGCTATATCTCCAACCTGGTCTCAAAGTATCACCCTAACCGTCCCCTCCACTCTTCCAAAGACCTCCTACTTTCAAGCTCCCATGCCAACTCCTCCCATGCTCGCCTCCAGGACTTAACTAGAGTCTCTCCCATCCTCTGGAACTTTGTACCCCAAACTGTCTGTCTATCTACCACTCTGACTGCCTTAATACTCATCTCTTTAGGGAAGCCTATGCCACCTCAAACTAACCACTGAACCATCAAGTTCTCAAACAATTAATCCCCACACAGCTACCTCCACATGTATCACTTGCCCATCCCTTTTAGATTGTAAGCCCTCGTGGGCAGGGCCCTCTTTCCCATCTTGTCTTGAATTGTATTGTAATATCTTCCTTATATTATAAAGTGCTGCGCAAACTGTTGGCGTTATATAAATCCTGTATAATAATAAAAACGTATAATTGTAGAGGTAACACCTCTACAATTAAAAGTCGAAGTGGATCTACTGTGTTGACTACACTCACACTGCAGATTACACTTCTGAGTGGAAGTCAAATCCAGCTCCAAATCAGATCCACCTCAACTAAACCAAGTAAGACAACCTGAAAACTTTGTTTCTGCACACTAGAGGGACTCACGTTGACATTAAGGGACAGAAACCTGCTCTCACATGTCTATCCCTCCTCCACACCTTTGTTTCTCTATTCCATTTCCTCTATGCTCCTTCCTTTACTTCTATTTTTTCTTCCCCTCACCCCTGCATAATCCCGATTTTCACACAAGTTTGTTTTCCCTCACTGCAGTGGCATTTGTTTGTACCACAGCTAGATACGTTTCATCTTACCTTCCTTTCCCTTGTTTAATACATGTAAAGTGTGAGACATCTGATCGAAGAAGGAGACAACAGAATACAGAGATTTGACTGATGGGAACAATTTGTCAGGATGCTTACTTCAGTATACGTTACCGTTTTGTAGTATTACATTATTGTGCCATTACATGTTTTTTTCTTTTCTTCTGATTGATGTTATAAAGTGTACTATGCATGCTCTGTCGTAAAAGCAAGTACATCCTTGCTGTCTTCTTTAAATATAGAATTTATAAAAATGCAGCTATATATCAGACGGAAGGACACAAAAGAAAACCTTTAGTTCTGCTTTAACAATCTTACAGTAATATAGGAAACATAAGGGGATGCTGTAATACATCCCCTCAAGCTACAAGATGATGACTGGGATCTCACATAGTAAATGCTACTTTACCTCTATACATACCCTCTCTCTTCTTACCTTTTATTTCTATGCAAATTTCATCATCTCCAGTTTGGTGACCTGATCCTGTCTTGCCAGAAGTTAGTCTTTGCTCCCATTCTTCAATCACTACTGCCTTCTCTTGATCACTCAAGTAAATGGTATCTGGATGCTTCTGCTGGATGTGCATCTTCACAGTGCTTATTTTTGGGTTTATTAAGGTCACCCCACATACCATACAGATCAAACCGTCCTTGGTTGGGGTGTAATCCATTAGAAACTCCAGTTTCCAACGGTCATGCTGGTACTTGCGTGGGTCCTTTGGAGCATTACCTTGCACTCTACCAAAAGCAAATTCCCAAGAAGCACCTTTCCCTTCGGACAACACTCCAGCCAAGCTAGGCTCCTGCTCGTCTTCCTCCACAACATCACTTTCAGATACTTTAAATGAAATCACTCCTGGATCTACAGTAAATAGAGGTATAAGAAAAAAAACTGAGTCATAAGAGAATTAAAAATAGAAAGTCTTTGAATTATTGCACAAAATGAACAATGTGAAAAAAAAAATGCCTATGTGCCTTGTAGAAGCCAACAACCTGCAGTGGACAAAAAAGAAAACACAGTCTGGTTTTTATAGGTAATACAGACATCATTCTTCATATGTTTACAAAAGTGGAATGTAAATCATCAGTCATAGCACACAAAATTGTGTGACAAAATTTGCTTCTGGTTGCTCGAGCAACACTTCCCAAGCACATTCTGAGCATTCATTCCTGACCCGACTTCCCGTGGACTGATCTCTTGTGTACCTTCTCGGCTAGTTCTCCTGATTACGATTGTCTGCTGCCTCCCCAGACCTTTGACTCGTTATCCGGATCTCCTTTTGCTCCCTACATCCGTGCCTGCACTGTCTTTGGGTACTCTCCACGCGAGCAGGGCAAACCTGGGGGTTGTGATCTGGGGTCAGCACGCAGCTAAGTCCAAACTTCTGTGGGGGGGTCCCTGGCAGAACACTGGTCCTTAGATTCAACACCCTGGGGGATGCAGTGCCACCTGCTGGCTCACATCCCTAGTACCATAACACATGCCACAAAGACTCACCTGTTATATCTATGGGCTCTTGTTTAGCCTCGACTACCTAAGGATAATGGTGCGCTTTTTGTATCATCTCATATTTATACTTTCGTCGTTTTTCCTTTAGTATTCAAGCTGTTTTGACAACTGAATGTCATTGTGCACATGCCCCTCTGAACGTTTGTTATTAACCTAAACTGTTTAATAAAATATGTATTAAAAGTGAAAGAAGAAGTTTCTTCCCTTCCCCAGGATTCCACTCTTCCACAGACTATTTTTAACTTGCCTGTAAAATCTTTTTCTTGGAGTACATTACTGGACATAAGGAAAGTCAAAGACGTATGAGTTACGCAGCTACCATCAGGAGATTAGAGACACTGGCAAAAAAAAAAGCTGTTAGGACAGCCCTTTATAACACCCCCCCACCTCATTTTTGTAGCAAGCAATAATCAAAGTGGACCACAAATAGAAAGGTAGACCTTTGTCCTGTAATGTACTTCAAGAAAAAGATTTTACATGCAAGTCAAAAATCATATTTTTGAAAAAAATCAAACAGGCACGCTATTCTAATAAAATTAACATGAGCTGTAAATAAACTCTAAGTGATCGTCACAGGTTTATAAAGTTATAAAACATTTCATGGGACCAGAGTATTGAATAAGTGCTCTAGTCATGAAATGTGTTACAATGGTATTAATGAAACTGTCACAGGTCGCTCAGTAGATCGGGAGGTGAACGAACACATACCGGCGCTTGCTCACTTCTCGATCTATTCCCGCAGGTGAGCCGTGACAGGGGAGTGACTGGATTCCCCCCTCCCATCCTCCATCGCTGACTGGCGGAACGGACGGGGGAGGGGGCGGGTACAGCTGGCTCTGCCTCTAGATAGGCAGAGCCCGCTGTCATTCACGCAGCTGGGCGGATCCAGACATAATTGTCGGTATCCGTTTCAGCTGCGGCGTCTCAGCTCGCGGTATACTGAGCTTTGGGTGACGGGAGGACGCTAGTTTGTGTCCTTCCGTTAGGCTCTGTTCACACCTAGGCGTATCAAATATGCGCACTTGTTGCGCGTTTTTACCGCGATTCGCGGTAAAAAACTGCGCAACACACGTGTTTCCGAGGGCTACTTGGCTGTATCCCAATGGAAACGCGCTTTTTTACCGCGATTTGCGGTAAAAAACCGCGCTACATACGTGCGTTTCCAAGGGCTACCTGGCTGTATCCCAATGGAAACGCGCAACAAAAACGCAGCAAAGAAGCTCATGTACCTTTTCAGGTGTAGGCCGTTTTGTAGCGCGTTCAGACAGGCTGAAATACGGCAAGGTGTGAACCATACCAATAGAAAACAATGGGATTTTCATGTTTGAGCGTTTTGTAGAGCGTTGAACGCGCTACAAAAAACGTGCAGGTGTGAACCAGGCCTTACCCTTCGGAGAACTATGGGAAAAAGCACTAACCCCATAGTTCTCCTTTAAGACAAACTTCTGTCTTCTGCAAATCCATCAGGATGGATAAATTCCATGGGGAATAAACAGGGGGAGCACTACTATGAGGGAAGATCAAAAGTTTCCTAGAAGTATAACAGTAGAGAATGAGAAGCTCTGTAGACAGAATGAGGAGGAGGGACTAAAGAGCTGGAAGAAAGAAGCAGTTTAAGAGTGAAGAAAGACGATGGGGCACTACAGGGGAGGAAGAAATGATGCAATAAAGGGTTGGTGGCGCAAGAGGACGGTAATTAGTAAGTATGCATCCTAGATGACGACAAACGTCAGAGGATTCCTCTAGGAAAGAACAAGGATGGAAGATCTGATATATATCACGAAACCTGACTTGCATGTCTCCAAAGAATCAAAGGTCTTCTTTGTGAGAAAACCTGAGGGCAGGTTGGGACACAGCTTTGGAGACCAAACTGATGCAGGAGCCAGGTCCGATGGTAGAAGGTGAGGGGCTGAAGAGAGTGCTGTTGGCAAAGGGTTCAGTTGTTTGTGATCCTGAAAGGGCACTCTCTGTACCTAAATGCCTGAAGGGTAAACTACTCACAGACATGCCAGCAATAGCAAGATTATGAAAGCATCCCTGAGTCAACCTTGCGGGTTGCTGAAGAACAAGGATTCAAGACCTGTGTGTGCCTACCCAAAGAGTAATAGAAGGAAAGGAGGGGACACAGCTGACTTTTCTCTTTATTTTGATACATAGAGGCAGGTGGTTGCTCTGATCTCCAGTGATGGTCTTGGTGTTAATAGTAGGACCAAAGAGACATAGTCCCTTAACCCCTTCATGACTGAGGCCCTTTTTTCCATTTTTGCACCCATGTTATATTCCACATTTTAGGCCTGAAAATGACGTAAAACCCCCCAACATTAATGTCCGCATCTTTAATCAGAGTGATTTTCGCATGGGCTATAGTCCCATACGGGAAACAAGCCGAGATGCTTCCAATCTCAGCTGAAGAGTAATGCTCCAGAAATCTGCTCCACCCGTTCAATCAGGTGAGAATCCACTGCTGTGATGGAAAAATGTCTTTGGACCATTCTGCCACAGTTTAACAAATTACGGTCACAGCCAGGAGGGAAAAAGGGCAAGGCTCGCCAGCGACAACTGGGTTTTATACAGTATTCTGTTAGTTAGTAGAATCCTTGCATAATAAGACACCCACTCAGGGGCAGATCCCTAAGTCTAGTCTCGGGAGGGGCACTGCCAGAAAATAAGGTGTGGCTTACAGAACAGAATTTTGTAATAATACATTACATTGCAGTTGTTTGTTATGTATAACATCAACTGTGCCTTTTTTTTTGTGTGCCTTTTTTTTTGTGTGACTTTTTTTTGGCACATTACTGTCATTAACATGGGTCTGTCATCCACACTTCACAATACTATGTTGATACACACGATCCAAGCCCAGTGTGAAGGATGGAGAGTCCCAGACTGAAGAAGAACAGTTTTGGGGATGGCCCCTGTGACGGACTGCACCGTCACTGTGCTAGTTGGAGGGGGCTGCAGAACTTGAGGACAGCCTTCCCAGAAGAGTTGAAGCTGCAAAGGGTGGGAGTAAGACTGGGATGCCATTAAAGTTAATTTATGTATTAATTATAAAAGCCCAGTCATCAGTTTAGAGTTAGCCATGAATATTGAAGAAGGGAAGAAGACATTGTCGATAATTCCAGAGAAGCATATAATTCCTATGCGTCTTGAAACAGACATGCTGCAAATGTGTGGCAGAAATACAACTAAGATCAGGGTAGGAGACAAGGCCTCAGGCACTCCTAAAACCCAGACATCTAGCAGCCAGTGAGGGCCAGATAACCAGAGGTGATCAAAATCAATGTATACAGGAAGTAGCAGTGGATTGAAGAATTAAGCTCCGTGTGGCTGTTTGAAAAGCAGAAGCAGCAGGGGATGATGCTTCCTCAATGCCGAATTGAGTGGAGCACAAGCGTGTGAAACTTCACCTAATGGATGTCAGTTCTCAGTAGCTCAGCGTTAACCCCTTTCATGGTAAAAGAAAGAGAAAGAGAATGGGCATTTTAAAGGCGCTCAGCAATCCAAGCGATGAGGTAGATGCCGATGTTCAGTCTAATCTGCCTATTGACAGAGTAAGTCTTTAAAGGCTGAAGGGCAATTACTGAGGCAATTCCAAAGGCTCTGGACTTCAAGGCTAGCCCTGCAACATCCAGTCCACTAAGGTCCAGTCACGGCACTCCAAAAGCAAAGCAGAGGATAATCTACTCCACATAAAGAGATCAGCTCTAGCAACATTGTACAAAAAAAATGTTAATTGGAAAAAAAAAAAAAAATGAAGCCTAGCAAGAATAGAAGAGTTCATTCTCCTAGGACACTAACAAAAAAAAAATTAAGCATGCTGGCTGTAGGAGGGGTTATCCTGGGCTAGCTTACAATTTTTTGTTTTCTCAGTGATCAATCCTCCTGTAGGCTGTATAACCTGATGGTGAAGACTTGCTGTGTCTCTCAATCACAATGAAAGAAAAAAATTGGACTTTAGATAAATTAATTTTCACATGCACAAAATAATGAAATAGATTATATCCACCCTCTCTCGAAATGTCCCAGTTTGTGAACAGATTACTCAAAGATCAAGTGAACAGTAATAGGGGCAATATGGGTGTAGAGTATATAGGAAAATTCCAATGGACAGCCGGTGGGGCTTAGTCCTGAAGTTGGGGGAAGACAAGTCTATTATAAAAGGAAAATAAAACGATTAGATATCTTATGCGGCTTGCTACCAGGCAGGACATTCACTTTTAAAATTTCACTGGCAGGTTCATTGTAATCTCCTCCCAAAACCATCACATTTTTGGATAGAGGTCTTCCTTATTAAAATATAAATAAAACAAAAAAAACTTAAATTAAATTACATTCATTCTATGCAAATCCACACAAACCAAATGTATTCTCACGGTTTCTCTTACCTCCTATAATGAATCCCTCCTTGTTTTGCTTTGCCATCAGTTTCTTTACTTCAGCCAGCTTATTTTCCCAGTCAAGAATGACAGCTGCCTTTTGCTCTGCAGAGAAATTGGATGTATGCGGGTGCTTCTGTACAATGTGCCTTTTTATGCTACTATCTTTCAGTACTGTTAGTGAGGAACAGCAGTACATGCAAACCACACTTCCTCTCAGTCCATTGTAGTCCATCAGGTAATCTGAGCGCCAACGCATATGGTAAGCATTACACTGGAAACGGTTCATGGAATTACGACTGTTATCTTGCCACAGACTAACCTCCCATATGGCAGGGTCAATCCCTGGAGGCCACTGAGTAGACTCAGTGCTACAAGAGGATAATGGCTTTTGTATTTGGAGTTCTTCTGGAACGGAAGCAACCTTGGGAGCAATAACCCGATAGTTTTTTGAGGTATCAGAAGTGGAGGTAGAGGGCTTTGGAGGTGTAACCACTGTTCGCTCTGGCAGAACAGAGAGCCGTGTGATAATAATAGGTGTTGGAGTTTCCACTGATTAAGGGAAAACAAAACAAAAATATAGAGATCAATGAACATACATCAAAACAAATGCAACACTGATGCTTATCTAATAGGTTTAGCTTTAGTATCATGGATGCCACTCACTTTTTAAAAGAGGAACTCCAATTCCCAACATAGCTGGTGCTTGCTGTACTTGTGGTATTTGTTGCACCTGAATTATATGCTTCTGTGGAATTATCGACAATGTCCTCCCTTCTTCAACCAGCTTTGCACAATTCTGTTTCTCATGCTCTTGTTTGATATTCCCAACTGTAGTCTCTACACCTGAAGTAAGAATCTGTCCTTTATGCCCCATGATCGGTTCCACAGTGTGTTGGTTTTCTGTTTTCACAATGTTTTCTTGCACACACTGCTCTTCCTTTGACATTGTTTGGACCTCTTTCACTTTAACTAGTTCTATACAGTTAGACACCCTTACTTTTTCTTCTTCCAACTTTGCCTCTGTAGCCTTACATTGTTCTTCCAACTGGACCTCTGTCGCCTTGCACTGTTCTTCCTCAAGTGTTTGCCCCTCTTTAGCTTTTAGTTTCTCATTCCCCAGCAGTGGTGTTGCAATAGCCATATGCTTTTCTTTCTTCAGGTGTGCCTCTCTAGCTTTATGCTTCTCCTGTTCTAGCAACTGTGTCTGTTTAGTCTTTCTTTGCTCCTCCTCCAGTTTGGTTTTTCCGGCTATAAGTTCCTCCTCCTCCAACAGTTGTGGATCGTTACTTTTCTGTTTCTCTTTCTCCAGATGCTGTGCTTCTCTATTCTTTCCTTGTTCCTCCAACCTCTTTGCTGATTTAGCTTTTAGGTCCTCATCTTTGAGCTTTGCCTCTCTAACTTTCCTCTCTGCTTCCTCCAAGTGTTTTTCTTCACCAGTCGTTTTGTCCTCCAGCGACTTCATATTTCTCCCCTCTGACATAGTTTTCTTGAACTGTTGAGCTTTGAGATCATCTTTGTCTAAAAGCTCACAATTGTTTTGCTCATCTTTTTCTTGGGTTTCTCCATTAACATTTTCTTTCCCTACATTTTTTTGCACTCTTGGTTCTATAATTGTTTTCTCTACCGGAGTATCCTCTTCATTCAAATAATTTATCGTCAGATCAACCTCTGCATCTTCTTCCTCATCATCATCCATTTCATCCTCAACATCTAAAATCTCTTCTGGAGTCTCCCTACGATTTATCCATGACTCAACTATAATACCTTTCTGTGCAGGGTTGAAATAAATGGATGTGGGATGATTGTCTAATATGTGATTTTTAATATCATTAATACTGAGACTTGTTAAGGCTGTTGTACACATCATACAGTACAGCTTGTCCCCTTGACAATCATAATCCATCAAAAACTCTAATTGTAACCATTGCTTAAACGACTCATTTATGTACTGTTCAATTTGGCTTCTGTCAGGTGGTGGGGGCAGAGTAATCTCAGATCCTAATAAAGGACGCCATGATCCTTTCACCATAGGAAGACGACGACGCTTCTTTTTTGGACCAGGTTGGACTGCAATATCATCTGTAGAAAGAGAAAGGTGGGTGTTAAGACAAAAACTAATGAGGGCATATATATATGTATATGGAAACACAGTCTAACAAATGAACCAAATATGAGATTGTTAATGGTGGAAAGAAATTTTTTACAAGACGAAATACACAAATGCTTCAAATAGTGACAAGACAAAAAAAGGCCTAGTAAACACAAGAGCTTCCTGCTCTTTTCATACAGAACACTCAAAATCTCACTCGAATGTACTGACATGGTCCTACTGTTCCGCCGAGTGTGTGCGTGCAAGGGCTCTCTTTGCAAATGAATGGACGGTTGCTTTGAACTCCCGTTAAACCTCGCAGTCACTTTTAGTTGCAGCAGGAAAGGAAGCAAATTAAACACTTTGCTTACCACTTGTGTGTATTAGGACCATAGGCCCTCACACCATTTAATAAACTAATGGACCCCTGGATTTGGATTCCAGGTGTAATAGACCTGTACTTTTGAATATAGTCAATGAACAGCATCCTGGAATTGACCACTGCCAGACTTGATATTTGTAGACCAAGATTTACCTGCCCCCTGCTCTTCGCCTCCTGTAAGGGTCTGAGCATCAACACATAGATGGGCATCCCAGCCACCAATGATGACCTCCTTTTCACAGGGAGTCCAAGTGAGGGAATAGGGGTGTTTCTGCTGAATGTGTCGTTTGATGGTGCTGAGTTTCAGGGTGGCCAGAGAACTGCCACAAACCATACAGATCATGCTATGAGAACGTGCATTGAAGTCCATTAAATACTCAAGCCTCCAGTGACTGTGATAGTAACGCCGGTGGTCTTTTCCAGGAATGCGACTGTTCCCTGGCCGGGAAGCCCGCTCCTCGCAGTTCTCTTGCCCTCCTTCATGGTTTCTCCCCTCTCCACTACTATCTGGGGAACTCCAGTCAAAAGAGGTGGAACCTGGGAAAAGCCCACCAGTATATGAATCTGATGGCTCTGGATACAAGACATCTATTGAGCTTGAATCTATAATAAAGTGAAAGAATAAGGGGGTTAAAATAACAGGGCAAACAAAGCTAAAGCTATGTCTCAGCAATGCTTAAAATAAAAATGTATGTATTTGGTAATAAGGAATAATACTCCAAAATTTTGTTTTGAATGGAGTTTGGCAAGTTTAAATATCTTTCCTACCATATTATGAAACGCTATTGGTGGATATTGGAATACAAGTTCCAATACCAGCCAACTGTTTTCTACAATTTAGACTGCCCTAGCCCAGTTACACATTACTGGCTACACTCCAATGAACAATTACACTGTATGCAATCATGCTCCTTTGTTTGTTTGGAGGGGCCGTGAAGAAAGAAAATCAATTGGTGCACTGGTCGATAAAAGTTCTCACTTTTAACCCCTTCATGACCAGTGTACATCACTGGCATCAGGGACGTTTAAACAGCCGCCGGAAGTCTGTTTAAACTTGTAAAGCTGACTGGTTTTACAGCCGAACCGAATCTGAAGGCTCAGCTGCCGCCAGATCGCTCCTACCCCCTCCCCCCTGCCGTGATTCCCAGGCTCCGTTGCCCCTCCTGCGGGCCCGGGACTGGCTTCTCTGGTGTCGGGGGGAACCTGGGGAGGAGATGGGCAAACCTCCGTTCATCGATTCGATCATCTCCCTGTACTATGGGACCGAGAGCGATGCAGATTACATCACTTCCGGTCCCATAGATGTCAGTGCTGGGCTCCTGAAGCGCAGTTATAAGCTATTGAAGTGCAATCAATAGCTTTTTTTCAAGTGTAAAGGTGATACTAGTGGTCTTTAGGACCCCCAGTATCACCTTAAAGAGGACCTGTCACCACCACTATGCTATCACATGGGGGGGGGGCTTGTAAGCCCCCCTATGTGATAGCAATTAAAGTTTTAAAAAAAATATGTTTTTAAAATTAACATTACCGTATATACTCGAGTATAAGCCGAGATTTTCAGCCCATTTTTATGTCAAAATAAATTGTAAAAAATGTTTTAAAGTCCCCTGCCCTCACGCGTCTTCACGTAAACATGCGTCAGGTGCACCTACGTATAAAAACAATGATCGCTACACTTGTTGGGTATCGCCGCACACGCCGGAATGAGGTCAAACAATTCTAGGGCCAGTATTTTTGCGCATCTCTAAACTGATGATCTGTGGGGGCTTTTAAAGCGCCGTCTATGTACTTTTTTGGGGTAGTAAATTGTGTCGCAGTTTCGCGGATGCACATCATTTTTAACCTGGGCATATTGGGTATCTATTTACTCGTAACCTCATCTTTTATATATATATATTTTTTTTTAATGTGTTTTGGGGCATTTAAGTGCATTTTTCACAAAATTTTAGGGTTTGATAAGTAGTTGCGCTAATATTGTGCAACATAAAAATTTGCAACTGCCACCATTTTATTCTAAAAAAAAGATGGCTTGGACCATGTCCATCCATGCAAACAGAATGCACATGATCTAAAACAAAATATTGACTTATTTTTCCAATCTGCAGCGTTCAAGTACTAAATTTAGTTATTCGCAGATGTTTGGAGGATGAATATGGAATATCAAATATACCATTAAAAAAATAAACAAGCTTTCCTTTCAGAACTACTAAACTCAGGGACCACTTTATTAGACTCACCTACTTGCTAATGCAAACAGTGTATTATGTGTTTCAGATCAGTAAATAAAGAATGTCAACATGGTCAAAAGATTTGATTGTTGCTTAAACCAACATTTGAAAGGGGAAGACTTTAGATCTTAAAGACTTTTATGTTGAAGTGATTGCAGATGCAAATATGCGATGGTGACAGCATCTTAAAAACAACTAATCCCTAGAAATTTCAAGAAAACTGCTTCTAGTCTAAACAGACTGATGTGAAAAAACATGCAGTGAGTAGCACTTCCAAACAGCATGCAGAACTTTACCCACAAGTCATCTGTTAACTGGCAGGGGTGTGGAAATACTTTTTAAAAAACACATTAATTGTCCAAGGACTAAAGCGGGGCCCCAATCTACTTGTCCCTCATGACCATCTACTTGTCGTGATACAAAAAAAAAAATACTTTTAGATATAGGGGAAGGGGGGTGCAGATTTGAGTGGGTAACTCCATTTTCCCAAACTACTTGGGAAGCTGAACTTCCCTTTAATGCACATTGTGCGTGTAAGAGAGCACTGCTGCCCTACGCATGCGTTTGTTCGAATGCAGCTGGCGGTGTTGGTTTTGTTTTTTATTTATATTATTTTTACTTTACATTATTTTGAAATTTCATTTTTTTTGTTACTTAACTTTATTGCCCCTTTGTGACAGCATTCAGACGTGACAGGCTCTCTTTATGAAGCCTGCCCTCCAATACACAAGTTTGAGCACAGCACTGTGCTCTATCTACTGTGACAGCTAAGATAGGAAGGCTGTGAGTACAGCTCTGTCACTGTTCTTCAGTCTGCTCCCCGCTCTCCATCCTAAAGCAATTTGCCATGGTCCCGGGTTCGAGCAGGGGGAACCAAACAACCGCAGTGGAGAGGGAGGCGGCCAGCAAGGAGAGAGGCGGCCGGTGGAGAGACCATGGGGGGCGTTGGTTTGAGGGACGGACAAGCACACTGCATACAAGTGATCTAGGTGGCTCCCCTGCTCTACTTTCATACCTGCTACTTGTACGCAGCAGGACTAAACAAAAAAATAAAAACACCTGCCCGGCGCCCGGAACTGCATGTCCTGGGCATAGGGCGATATGAATTCCGCACCCATGCCATATCTTTTTTATAGTAACAACAAGGCACCTTTAGAAATGTTTAGTAATGACAATCTACAAACAAATACTTCTAGATAATATTATTATAATATTATCTAGTATAATATTGCATAACTTATTTTTCTTTTCCTCCCCATTCTTCTTACAGTGGCCATTTTGACTAAGAGCAGGTTACTAGATCTCCCTTTACTTCCTGGAAGTCTGGTACATGTGACTAGGACATGTGACCATGCACATCATCTCAGTGGAGGAAAATGCTTTTCCCTTGTGAGATTATAGATGAGATTTTCCAGCAATGCTCTGCTAATGTAACTTTCCCAGGATGGAACGCTTGGGCACAGAATACATAATTTGTGCCAAAGTGGACTAGGAAGTGGAAAAAAGAAAATTGTAAGTAAAATAAAAACATGTTTGTTTAGCTAATGAATGTAAGATTATTTCATATCAGCATGCAGAGCTGTACGCTGATATGATTTTTAGTCAAAGGGGTAAAGGTCTATCCTGGAAGTAAAATTCAGTCCTCCCCAGTAATACAGTGGCCACTGCATATATAATATCTTACTAATTTTAATACCCTGTGTAAGCATTCCACTCCGAATAAACACAACATGTTCCTACAGTAAGTACAAACTACTGTTTTCCAAAGTCTATATTAATACTGTACAATAGCCTATTTAGGCTGCATGCCATGCTAGTGACTGTCCATA